GGGAAAAAATGGAAAAAAATTAAAAAAAAATCACAAAAAAATCCCCCAAAAATCCGGAAAAAATTGGAAGAAATGGAAAAAAACCAAAAAAAATTGTAGAAAAATTGAAAAAAAATCCCCCAAAAAATCCCCAAAATTCCAAAAAAAATCTCCAAAAAAATCCGGAAAAAATTGGAAAAAATACCCAAAAAATCCACCAAAAAATGCAAAAAATTTGAAGAAAAACACCCAAAAATTAAAATAAAAACCTAAAAAAATCGCAGAAAAATTGAAAAAAATCCCCCCAAAAATCCCTAAAAGAATCCCCAAAATTCCCAAAAAAATCTCCGAAAAAATCTGGAAAAAAATGGAAAAAATTCCAAAAAAAATCGGTCAAAAATTGCAAAAAATTTGAAAAAAAACGCACCAAAAATTAAAAAAATTACAAAAAACCAAACCCTAAAAATCTCCCAAAAATTGAATAAAATCCCCCAAAAATTTAAAAATTCCCAAAAAAATCCCCAAAAAAAAAAACCCAAAGCAAACCAAAATTTGTATTTTTCCAAGTAGCGAAGACACTTTTTTTCTGTGGAATTTAACCCTTAATTTGTGGAAGCATTTTCCACTTGGCCAAAAGCTTGTCCATCCATCTAGTATGGGGAACATTTACTCAAAATACTTATTTACAGAGGCATGTGAGGAGAGGAGCCAAACACCTGCTCAACACCCTGGGATGACAATTGATGTGTTTGGTTCCAAAGGGAGTGGTAGCAAGGTTTGACCATACCTGATCAGCATCCTTATGCACCTGCAAACTCATTTGCTGATAATTTCACCACCATGTGAGTCTGGTAATTGTGACTTGTATTAATAAATTGTTACAAATAACCTTTTGGTAGCCCAGACTGACAGAGATCAGATATTTATCTCTAATAGGCAGAACTCATATAAGAGCTAAGTCTCGAATTCTCCAGCTTCAAAAGCAAGGAGTTATGATTTTATAAATTTTATAAATTGGTGCATACAGCAATAAAGAGTTGTTACATACAGCTTACTACTCAGGGAAAAGAAAATCAGAATCACTACAAGCGACATGTAACTCCAAGATAAAAATCCAATTTCCAGTCACTGCATTCTTTACATCCTAATACCAACAGGAACTCCATGAGACCAAAACTTTTCGATCCAAACACCATATTCCCCATTAATACAAAGTTTTGTGTCTTTTTTTAAATTGTGCTTAATGTAAAAAGACAGACTGACGTTTTTGGGCTAAACCAGAATTTTTCAGAGAACTCTTTAAAAAAAATCAAGTTTCAGAGACTCTGAGCACACACACTCTGTTCTGRTTTGTTCCTGGAAAGCTGCCTGGGTTCTTCAGGATGTGCTACAGTGTCCCCTCTCACACTTCTGAATAAGGAAGGTTTTCTGTATGGTTTTGGTTTAGCCAGAAGGTATTTCAGTGCAGGTAATGCTGCCCAATCAGGAAAGATGTGCATTTCTCTGATTTCTGGGCCTATCACCCAACCAAGTTTCCTAAATCAAGTATCCCACTAAGGATTCCACTTTCCTCTCTGCTAGTTCATTTTTCTCCAGCCTATTTTACTTTGTTTTCCTACCCTTTCAGTACCACTTACCCACTTAATTCCTTACCCATCACGTCAACTGAAATCACTGTGCTGGGCAAGGTTTCTCTCGTTATCTTCCCTTTCCCCCTCTCTGTCACACATCCCAATCCCCCTGAGCAGAATCCAACAGCCTCTGTCACTCCAGCCTTGGAAACCTACACCTCCAAATCTGCCTCAAAACATCTTAATCCCCCCCAGTTCTCTGCTTTTATGTCATAATCATTTCTGTCAAATCCTTCTACTGAGGCTCTGTGATGCACTCAACAACAAAATAACTTTTATTTTCACTCATGTTTGCCTCAGGTGGGAACTCCAGCCTTGCCCTAACATTGTCCATGACGGAAATGATCCCATGATGGAACTGACACCATTCCTGCTGTGGCCAAGAGTGGCTGCATTTGAAGAACTACAACCCCCTGTAAGAAAATCCACATTTCCTTTTTTCAAATGGTATTTTTTTTTTAATCTTTCAATTTAACTCCTTAATTCTGGCATTATAAACAGCACTCTGGTGATGAATTAAGGCATCTTAATTCACTTCAAGCACCTGTATCACATTAAGCAGTCTACATCTACAACATAAAGACAAAACCCCAAACTTCCATGGCCACATCCTTCTTTATGAGTGAGAGATCTGCTCACAGAGAGGAAAATAAATCCCCTGCAATGGTATTCCCCCTTCCATCTAGCTCTGTAACAACTAGAAAAAAAGTATTTGTTGCTTTACATGGGACAGCATGGTTTGGATGTGGGAAAAACAAGGGAAATTTGGGAAGTCACCTTTCACTCAGCTGGCTTTTAGGGCTATTCACTCTGGTTTGGGTCCATCCCTCACCACCACGCCAAAAATTCAAAAGAGCACCAGGACCTGTGTCCAAGGCCTTTTCTGCTAAGCTCATTTTCTGCAACTTTATCTGAAATGCCACAATCATCAACTTTAATGTTTTTATCCAACACCCAGGGMCAAAACACAGAGCTAAAACCTGCCAGAATCAAGAGCTAAAAGAACTCTTGTCTCTCCTACTTGCCTTAAAAAGGAAATACCCACTCTCTAACAAGAAATATTGCTTTTGATGAGAGTATTTCCTCCAAATTACGATAACTGATTAACTTATTCTTTACCTGTGAACAGTGTTTGAACACACTGCTGCTGAGGGGGCCAAAAAGTTAAATCCCAGACAAGAAGCACCAGTTAAAATAAATGTTAAAAACCAAATGAAGATAAAAGGGCATTAATAACTACAACCACCCAGAACACACAGACCAGCTCAAAAGACTTAAATGTCACAAATGAAGACATATCACAAAAAAAAAACCTCCCCTGAAGGACAGGGGAAAGAGAAAATGTAGACCCAAGGAGAAACGGCTGACTGTTTACATAGCTGTTTTCAAAATCACTTCAGACACTAGGGAAAGCTGGAGCTGGAGGGGTTTGAAATCAAGTAAACACACACCAATACCTGCTGCAAGGCTCCAGTGCTTCGTGGCAAGGGAATCTTACTGTTGGCTGCTTTATTAAAAAGGAGTTAACATTTAATTTGTTTGAAGGYAAATGACAGCTGCTCTAGGATCACTGGAGTTCATGATACCTTGCTACTGTTATTACATTTTGATTAAAGTTTGTCACTTGAGGTGTGTCTCAATTATAATGTGCCCTGTCAAGATTCCCTTCCCTGCCACAAACATTGCAGATGGTTCATTTCCCATGTACATGTTAGAGAAAGAGGTTAAGCTCATCCTTTAAATCTCTACTTCTTGGGCACAGAATTTTCTGTTTGTTTTACATATTAAAGCACAAAAAAATCTGGAGGTAACGCCACATTTTTACAAAAAAAAATCAGGTTCCTCTGAGCCTGAAGTTGGTTATCTTATAAAGATGTATTAAATTTACAACCTTGCTAATCTCACCTTCTTAMACAGCCTGACTGCACAACCTGGTTTCAGATGGGCAGCCCTCATACGATCTTGAATTTAAGCTGCAAGTATTATCACTTCTGTCAGATCTGCTATAAATAAAATGGAACAATGTCAAAAGATGCTACTCAGCACAGAGGCAGGGATGGAATTCTAAAGAAGCTCTACAAAATTTGCAGTAAAGCCTGCATTAAAAAATAAGAATGTAGATTTTGTATAATGAGGATGTATAACTGCAGAATCTGAGAATTAAAAAAGCAAACAAACAAAAAAAACCACACTCATTCTTAACAATGTTCTGAGAAAAAACTGCTAAAATGTTAAAAATTACCAGAGGCTTTTTCATGTTTATGGCCCTGTAGATAAAAAGCTCTAGAGAAAAATTAAAACAAGTCCTAAAGCCATTAGAGTTGCATTTTAATAATGAATTTCTCTACACTGAGTCGTGCATGCATTATTTGTTGTAGTTATTGCTTTTTTTCTGTATTAGCTTAGGCCACAAGCTCAATTGAATAAATGTTAACATGCTTAGCAGTTAAAAAGCTTCAATTCACCATCCATCTAAGATATTTATGTTTTCTCTCCTCAAACAGTTTCTCAAATTTCAGCAGTAGTTCAAGAGTTGTTCAGARAAAAAGGAAATAAATCTCCCTCTCAACCAAACATTTCAAATAATACTAAAAAAAAAAAAAAGCAACTACAGGCTTGTTCAAAAGGTAATAATAGGGCAGGATTTTAAAAAATGCTGGTTCAGAGCCATTCTCTACTTTCATATAAGTGACAAATTTGCTATCAGCTTCAGCCAGAGCTGACACAGAATTGTAACCAAGCCCTGCAATGGATTAGAACTGCCCAGAGACTGAGCTGGAAAGGAAAGCTGTGACAGGGGACATCCCAGCTGGCCCAGCCCACTTYGACAGGGACTTGCACCAGTGCTTTTGGATGGCAAGCAAGCAATTCCAAACCCACCCATCACTAAAGCAAACACCCACAGATGGAACTGGAATCATAAAGCACCTCTTCTCCAACACAGGAACCCCTTGYAAGTAAATCCCAGCAGCTCAAGGCCACCCTGTTGTATCTGCACAGTGTGAGCTGCCTCTCTGCCAATAAACTTCTCAATTAATCCCTAATTAAAACAATCCCCTTGAGACAGACCACAGCCACTTACCTCATCCACATTCTCGAAGGCATTGATGATGTCATAGGGTAAACAGGACAGAAGGTCAATCACAAACCACGTCTTCAGGTAATTCATCCGGATGAGCTTGGGGTCGGATATGACCTCTCCCCCAGGGCCAACAAAGGTCGTGTGAAAGTTCAAAACAATGTCCACCAGAAAAATAACATCCACCACGCTGTCCAGCACCAGCCAGGCAATGTTGTTCTGCTTTGTCTTGAAGGACACGTTGTATGGAACCATGATTGCTGTGTAGAAGGTTAGAATCAAGATGACCCAGTCCCAAGTGGTTTTAAAAGCGCAGTAGTGGAGTATAATGTGTGGTGGGGTCTTTGGAGCTTCTTGCTTGTACTGAGGAAGAATATCAGATCCCAGCTGGAGGACCTGTAAGAGGCAGAGAGGCAAATGTTACTGCTCTCAATTAATGGGATCCAATGAGGGGTTTTACAGGTTTCTGTGAGGAGAAGCACCAACACAGGACTGTGCTCATTGGACACTGCAAGACAACCCAGTTTCTAAATTATCTGATTTATTTAGGAGGTTTGGAGGCAGCTATCACTCAATGAAAGGGAGCAGCACGGCATCTGAGGGTATTCCTGCAAAAAGGGAGGTCTTTGCAGCTGGACTGAGAGGGAAGCACGCCAACAGCAAGGGAAGAGAGGCTCCATAAAGAGGTTTTGGGTGCTGCCACACCAGTTTATGCCCTGCAGTTATGAACACAGAATCACAGAATGGGGTAGGTTGGAAGGGACCTAAAAGATGATTTATCTCCAGTCAGGGAATCTTCAACTGGACCGGGCTGCTCCAAGCCTCGTCCAACCTGGCCTTGAACACCTTCAGGGATGGGGCATTTACAGCTTTTCTGAGCAACCTGTCCAGTGCCTCACCATCCTCATGGAAAGGAATTCCTTCCTAACACATAATCTAAACATGAATACTCATTCATATTTGGAATTGTTGGAAGATTAATTCTTTGTGCCTGACCTCTGTTTTGAACCACTGTTGAGCCAGAGCAACACCCTATCAGAGGTGAAACAAACCTGACCTCCTAAAATGAGGCRTCATTCACCCAATTTCTGCCCTAACACCCTGCCAATATCATTCCTCTGTCCTATTTTCTTCAAAAAGTTGTTGCACCCACAAGCTCATTACCCACAAGTGGGTTCTCTTTTATTTYCTGTAATTGCTCCTCATTTTTTTGCATAGGACTATAATCTCCTGCATGCTCACTGTTGTGAGCAATTGTGGGACTGGAAACACTGCAAAAACTGAGCCAAATTCACTTAAGGCATTCCCAGCTAATCCAATTACCTCTTATCTCAGCCCAACACGAGAAACAAAGGCACAATGGAATGCACATGTGGCAATATTTTACACTGACAACTGAAAGATCCACTTGGGGATACATTTGGGGATCTCAAGTCTGTATGGGATAAAATAAATTATTTACAGAAACTTTAAAACTCATTTCAGCCCTGCACCTGTCCTGGGGCTGATGAACCACATTTCCAGGGACAGCTGGATTGAAAACAGCAGCCCATGACGTGTAAAATTGATCAATCAGGGTGCTTCCTCATTGGGGAGGAGTAAATTACTCTGAATCAACTGCACAACCAGGAACGTGAAGCCAAGCACCACAGAGAGGGATCCTCCATTAATTCTTTGCAGCTTTTTCTTTTAGATGTTTTCAAGAGGAAGCTGTTACTGAGATCTGACCAAGCCTGGCTCTGCTGAAAATCTGTTCAGGAATCACCAAGGGACAGCACCAGCCACCCTCACTCTGTGCTGGGGGATGTGGCTTCCCATGATATCACAGCTGGGCCAGTGTCAGGCTGAAGGGACCCAAACCTTCTCCTGCCACCCACTCCCATCCTCCCTGAGATCACATTTGGCAACCACCATCTGTAAGGGAAGTCAGGTGAGCTGACACAACAAAAAACTAACTTGTTACATCAATTAGCCATTTGTTTTCTACAGAGTCCCTTCCCAGTGCCCGGACAGATTCACTATCAGCACTTCCATACTCCTATAGCCACTGGGGCACACTGAACTGGTGGATCCAAGGGTTTTTCCCTGGAATTCAAGCAGCCACCAACACAGCCATTTTTTCAYAGCAGCCCTGTGAAAAGCTCTTTCAAAACCAAAATTTTCATCGGCACTTAACACACGCCATTTTGGCTTTGCTTCGTAATTTGGTTATCTCCACTTTTCTCTTTGGACTCATCAGCATCCAACACTTCACTGATAAATCAACAATGGGAGTTTTTTTCCCAGGTTTCTTCAGGCCTATTTGTTCCCTGCCTTTTTCACCAGGGCAGGAGCTGGAAACATCCTCACTAGAGCTGGAATGATAAGCTACTTATGGCCAAGCAGAATGAGATWAACATATGCTTGATAGTTCTCTGTGCCTCTGGTGGTGGAGTGCTTGGGAGCTCCCACGATACTGTAAAAGCATAATTATTATTCTTAACATAATATCATGCTGAGTTTGACATGGTGAGTGGGTGGCAAGTGGCTGCGGAGACCACTGAACTATAATGATGATTTCTTTCATGCTGCATGAATTTTTAATTTTAAATCACCAAAGGATRCACAATATCTTGTTAGTCAGCTGCATTCACCACAGACTGAATTATTCCTGTGTACAGCTAATGAAAATGACTGATAACTGCTAAGTTTGATAAGGTGAGCAGCACATTCTGCAGGGGATGAGCTGTGAAGATAAAGCTCCTGCTCACACACAGAAATATGGAACACGGGGTCTGTACAGGGATGGTGAACCTCCCCTCAGACTGCTTTCCTCACAGCACTCTGCCTACAAAGCACTTTTAAAASAGGAGTTTGCACACTCTGCAAGGAACAATTCCTGAGTACAACCTTATCCCACCYACTCCTGAGCACACCCACCCTTACCTGAGGTTTTGCTGCTGCCTGATATAAATCTTCCTTGCTGTGACCTAATGCCATTTCTTTTTTTCTAGCTACAGCAGTTGTGGTGAACGWTTTCTTCCCTTGTTCTATGCAGCTGCTTTAGACTTTTGAATATTGTTACTGCATCTTCTCCAGTCTTCCCTTCCCCAGATTCAATAAAAAATGGATATAACTGGATTTAAGGACATTGAAACATTATGAGTTTGAAAAGTGTGAGGTGTCAGTAATCTAGCATTTATCCCATAAAAATATGGGATCATCCAGGGGAAAACATCACACTGCTGACACCTGAAAACTGTGAGTTTCCATTCTGATTATTTGAGTTTTCATTATCAAAGTTCACCAAAACCAGAAAGGGAATGGAGAAAAAAAACAAAATCMAAAAGCATTTAAACTGCTATCTGTTCTACAGGATGAGTTCTCTGGCAAAAGGGCAGTCTTTTCCAGTAGCTCATCTATTTTGACCTTATATTTTTGCCCCATTTATTTTTCATTAGCAGTGGACATGAAGATGAAAGCAGTACCTCTGTTTCATCAGTTAACCTGAAGGTGTTCACATGATGCACCATCTGCACTCTTAAGGAGATGTTTACAACCTGCCAGAGAGTTCAGCTCATCAGCTCTGAAGATAAAAATGATGAGCAAAATACCTCAGGGATGGCTTAGCACAAAAGTTGAGATTAGGGGGTATATGCAGTCCATGGGGACCCAGACARGGATGGTTCCAAAGGGGTTTCTCAAAAATCCCATTTCCCTGCAGAGGGACTCGAGGACATCAATCCTGGTTCCATGAGGAGCACCCTGTGCATCCCAAATCAAGGAACAGCCAGGAAGCTGAGGATTGTRTGCACAGAAATAGGGTCATTTAAGTAAAAGTGACCCACAGAGAGAGCTTTGATGACCTTTCCTAAAAACACGGGCTTGCCACATTCTGCTGCTTTAGGACGAGTAGAGACAAAACTGAAAAAATCAGCGCCGGGGAATATTTTCCTCTAAAAATACCATTTACCAATGGGAATCAGGGTGGGTTTTCTTTCCCCCCTGCCCTAGAAAGTAGTCAGGCTGCTGTCCACCCCACTTACTTCTGCTAAACGGGAGTGTTTGTGCACCACCTCAGCCTTGTTCATCGGCGTCAGCTGCTGCAGGACGCTGCGGCTGTTGGTCAGCGCCCGCGTCAGCCGGGCAAACTTGGTCCATCCTGCAGGAAAAGAAGGAAACYGTGTCAGAAATCCTGTCAGAACTGTTCATGTCTCACCCAGCAGTAACAAATCTCCCTCGTGCTCGCCAACAGTCACTCTCGGAGCTGAATGGTTTCTCTAAATCGCCGCATGGAGCAGATTTGGGCTCTGGGTTTAAAGATCTTACAAAAGAGGGAAAATAACTGCTCCTTCAAGGCAACCACGGGTAAGTGTGAGGGGAATCAAAACATTCTTTTCTTTGCYTTCTGGAGGCATTGTGTTAGAGGGATGGCATTGTGTTTTCAGCCTTCTGGGGACATCTTCTGCTGCTGAAATGGAATTCTAAGCCACTGGAGTTCACACAAAGGCTTTCCAAGTCTGCAAATCCTGCTGAAGGAAAATCCTCCCCAGCTACARAAAGGATCCTGCTGATTCAGGACCGCTGGAGCAGTCCCAGAAGTCTGATCCTTAAGTCTTTACTGGTTTTTGCCCCAACTAAACTTCAGGAACAAAAATAAAACTGAAAAAAAAAAAAAAAAACCCCGAATAAATAAAACTGGGAAAAAAACCAAAAAAGACTGCACCAACTGCAATGCTTCAGACTGACAAAAAAAAAATCATTAGGCCTTTACAGTCAGATGAATAACTTGATTTTAAATGGCATTAAGAAATACATTTAGCTATTATACTAATGATGAAGAGCTGCTTTAATTGTAGCCTGAGACCCACACACTGGTCTGCCCCTGAGGAACATTTTCCTGCTGCACCCGGCAAGGAGCAGCTTGTTACTGACAGCAGCACCAGCCCAGGAAGGTGTCACCGAGTCATTCCTGCTGGAAATTCCTGGAAAAACAGCCCAGTGTGGCAGCTGGGGTAGGTGTGCCAATGGGGGCAGCAAAKAAAACATCAGGGTTTTCAGCACAGTAGCAGTGCTAAATGGGAAAACTGAAAATCCAGGTGTCTTCAGGAAGGAAACATTTTCCCAAGGACACTGAAGGAGATGCTCAGAATTTGGTTAAGCCAGGTATAATGTCTTCTTTTTTTACCAGAGAGTTGTGGATAAAATATCAAACAAGTTACAGACAGGAAAGGGGTTCAGGAGAAGGTTTATCTTTCATTTAATTTGAATGCTGAGAAGGCAAAAATTGGGGAGAATATTTATATGTGAGAAACAACAATTCTGTTMGAATCATTCTGGAATCACAGAACAGTTTGGRTTGGAAGAGACCTTCCAGATCATCTCATTCCACCCCCCTGCCATGGGCAGGGACACCTTCCACTATCYCAGRWTGCTCCAAGCCCCATCYARCCCCTGAGCACTCCCAGGGATGGGGCASCCACARCTTCTCTGAGCACYCYGTGCCAGTGTCAGTTTTATTTTTGAATGCCTTTTGCTGATACGAGTCAGGGACTGTGAAAGTTAAGCCCTGGGGGAGACAAAACAAAGAGCAGGGAACAGACAAGACAATAAAACTTAAAGAAAAAAGTAATGTACAACTTGGCTTTGCCATTTACCACATATATTTTGCATTCACACAAATGTAAAYCCATTGTTCATCATCCAACAATCAGAAGAGCCCAAAATACCATGACACGCCACCAGCACTGCACAAACATTTGTGTCTGGCTATTTATACRTGACCTCAAAAATGCACATTAAAAATTCACTGGGAAAAGGTAAAAAATAGAAGCATTTTATTAACTTTTCAAATGTAAACTCGAAATGTGAGCTGYGGATGTGTCTCATGCTTCTGGAGCTTACAGGGATATTCAATTAGGAATGTGCACTTTCTGTATTAAACAAGGTCAAGGCAGACTACARTGATCTATGAACTATTAATTTCTGCAAAAAAACCCTTGTGCTTTTCTTTTTCCTAATTGTCTATAAAACTGCAGGAAGGAGACAGGTTTAAGACAGAAGTCAGAACTGYTCTTTATCTTTCTAAACCAGCAATTTCAAAGAGCAAGAGAGCCTGGCAACAGCATCTTGACGGCTCTGCCCCAGCATTTCTAGTAATTGCTGGAGGCCACGGTGCACCCAGGTGATTTATCTTGGGTCACTGCAAACACACAGCAAGAACAAGGGGGAAAGAGCAGCTCTCCTCCAGGAAGGTGTTTACCCACTTCCAGATCTGGGCAGGTACTTAACACACATATGTACACAGTCAATTGTCCTTTTTTCCCTGGAAAAATACTCCCCCATGGTYTGTAAGGACAGATCTGGGCCAGTCCCCAACCTTTAGTTTGCCATTCTGCCTCATAGATGATGTGAGAGCAATGGAAAAGTGCTCAGCAGAAACAAAACCACCACAGACAAAGGGCTGGACAGACCCAGCCTCTCTCACTCATCACATCTCAGTGCTGGCAGCTCCTCCAGCTCCTGACAGAAACATCAGGATGTCCAGCAAGGAGAAGTGCAAAGCCCTGTGCCTCAGGAGATACAACCCCAGTGGTTTGGCAGAAAAGGGTTTGGGCATTCCCAAGGGACCAAGATGAATGTCCRTGCTGGAAATCTTCAGCTGAATTAGACACAGAACTGCCAGCAGGTTCAGGAAGGTGATCCCTCCCATCTTCTCCTCACTGTGTGGCCAATTCCTGCAGCACTGTGTCCATTTAGAGAAGGATTTGAAAAGTCAAGGGCTGGCAATGACAGGAGATGACTTTGTGTACTGTCCAGAAATCCTCTGTCATGGTGCTTTGCAGGCTGAGAGATCCCAGTCATAAAAATATGGGTTTAAAATGCTTCTCTTATAAAAGCAGAACTGGTGAAAAATCCTTTGTCACTGATTTAGGTAAGAAATGCATCTGTCCTGCACGAACCACAAATGCATAATTTCTGCATCCAATTCCTCCTTCTGGAGCAGGAGGCTGCATACCAGACAACAGCAACCCTTCTGCTGTAAAGATAAAAAGAAAGGAAAAACTACGATTTTTTTTCCAAATCCTTCCTAACCACCATGTGAGATCATCCATGTCACGTGGAAGAAAGAAGCCACACAAGGTTACCACACTGCTCATCTGGTCTGACCTCTTCTTTTCACAGGACAAACCATTTCATCGTGTCCTTTCTCCACCAAGACCAAAGCTTTGCTTTGTGTCAGAGCAGACCTTTTGCAAAACCCTTCCAGCCTCGGTAGAGACCTCACATTTTCAGATTTCTTTCAGCCCTGTGAAGCCCATGATTCTGAAAGCACTGAATACACTAACATGACTTTTTTCTCCAATTCAGCACAAAGTCCAGCATCACTTTACCTGCTCCAGCCTATCCATCTGCAACAGTGTGAAAAAAAAAGTACCAGGTTCTTTTGTTTCCTATTTACAACCCAAGAGAATTAAAAACACAGCAGCAGCAAGATGCTGGGTTATGAGTGGGAAGGTGAAAATGTATACAGGCTGCCTCGTGTCTGAAATAATCTGCACAGGGTACATTTCTCTGTTTCTTGACCTTGTTGTAGTCTAGGCAAGTTCAGAATTATATTTAAAACCAATGTGTACGTTTAAATAGACCAGGGAAAATTTGCATAGCTGCCTACTGCTGTCAGTGTTTCTTCAAACGATTCTCTCCTTTCTTTTCCTCTGTAGACAGAGACTTGAAAAGAATGATAATTTTATCCCAAGTATTAGTGACCGCCTGTCCTCACAGATATTTTCAGCCTGGAAGGAGTAAAGGAGCTGCACAAATACCAGGTGCAAGAGGGACAAAAAAAAACTCTGTACTAGTGAGAAAATGCAGCACTTGTGATGCTCTCTTTGGCTCAGCTGGATTGCATCTTTCTTCCACAGCAGCACTTGAAAAACAGCACCATGAACTCRCACCATTGCACTCAGATTCTTGGGGAAAAAAGCAGCAGCATCAGATCACACAGCAGATCAGGCCAGCAGCTGCTCCTCCTTACAAGAAGTTAAACTGGGTGTTCCASACAAAGACATGAACTACCTCGAATGGAAAATAGCACACACATAAAATGATTGTTTCCCCTGGTTCTCTTTAATTACTTTCTTACTCRGGGACAAAACAAGAAGCATTTGTTCCCCTGCTTTAAAAAAAAACCCTCATGATCTGCATTTATTCTCAGCATCCAAAACAAAGGTCTCTTAAACAGGAACCCAGCAAAATATTTCCCTGTTTCTACCTATTATTCAAAGTAAAATTCCTGCATTCTCAGTAAACTGGAGGTTTAACACTTACAAGAACAGGACAWGAGGAAGGCAAGCACTGTGAGAGACATGGAAAAAACTGGTCTCTGCTGCAATGCTGCCCTTCCAAGCAYGCAACTTTCTTCTTCCCCCATGCAKTTTAGACACAATTTAAYATTTTACATCCACMAAGTGTTCTCCRTGTCTCTTGCCCCAAAGAGGACTGCCAATGTGACAGCCCCATGACTGTGGGTCTAACCAAGACAGAGGTGACTTTGTGGTACCCTTCACACAACAGCTGAGCCAAAGATTTCTCTGAAGAGAAGCAAAAATGAGAGTACTCAATTAATTTCAAACAAAAAAAAAAAAATAAAAGGTATTTCTTTTAAACCTCAGATGCTGTTGATGTTGTGACAGGAAGCCTGGGGGAGTGCAGGAGCATGGGAGGGAGGCAGACAATAGTCAGGTGAAGCAGACAGAGAATCCTAAAACCTCCTCAGAGGAGGGAAAGCTCTCCAAAAGGATCTGAGAAGCTCACTCAGCCACTCCCTAGAGCCATGCATCCCTACAGAAAGTACATGGAGGGGGAAATTCTATTTTTGGGTTAAAACTCGATCCTTTTGTCCCTCCACCACCGGAAAGTCTGAACTATCCTACTCACTACAGCACATGCCTTTCACATCAGCAAGAGCCCTGACACCTTTCTTCCCAAAATCCCAAATCCATCATTCTGCTTTGCACTGGACAGCTGGGGTGGCAGCTGCTCTCCAAAAACCTCCCCTCCACCGCCACACTCACTTTCTCCATACCCAAAATCCCTTCCAGCCCCATTTAGAGATTTCCCATTCCCACATCTCTGCCAGCTGCACCCTGGAACTGCCAC